CCCCCCCAAAAAAAACAAACCCCCCCCCTTAGGGGTCCCCCAAAAAAGAGGTTTTCCCCCCCTCCCCCCCCCGGTGGGGGGTTTTTTCAAAATTTTTTTTTGGAAGGGGGGGGGGGAAAAACCCCCAAAAATTTTTCCCCCGGGAAGATTTTTTTTTCCCGGGTTTTCCCGGGGCCTTGGGGGGGGGGGGTGGGGTTTTCGGGGAAAAAAAATTTTTTTGGGGGGGGGAAAAAAAAAAACTTTTTTCCCACCAAAAAAAATTTAAAACCCCCCCTTTTGGAAAAGGGGTTGGGGGCCCCCCCCCCCCCCCCCCCCCCCCCCCCTGGACACCAGCGGAGAGAGCACACATGCGCCGTAGTCGTTGGTTGATGCCCTCGTGAGCGCGAGAGAGGACCACGGGGTATGTGAGTACGCCGAAGGATTGAGGCAGTGGCCAACATAGACTGGTTGGTCGCCACAGAAGCAATGGTAGTGTATTTTGTTACGTTGCTCACCGTTTTGAATCTTGATCTCGCCGGAGGCTAGGTCGGGCGAGTGACGGTCGGAGCCGGCTTTGCCGTAGACCTCTTCGTTGCGGACGTCGTCTGCGGAGCGGGACAGGAAGCTCTCGATCCGCCGGAAGCTAACCCGAGCCTGGAGAGAGAGAGAGAGAGAGAGAGCCATGAACCAACCACCACAGCGACATTAACAACGACGACAACAACCGCACATCGATCGTCGACGACATCAGCACCGCCAACAACAGTAGAAGCAACAGCAGCAACATCAACAGCACCGCCAACAACAGTGAAAGCAAGCAACAGCAGCAACATCAACAGCACCGCCTACAACAGTGAAAGCAAGCAACGGCAGCAGCAACATCAACAGCACCGCCAACAACAGTACAAGCAAGCAACAGCAAAACTAAACGACAAAACCGACAACAACGACCACGACAACAGCAACAAACACGGCCCACGCACGCTAACCTGGATGTAGTAGTTGAGGGTGTCGGGGAGCACGATGAGGGGCATGCGAAGCTGGTTGAACAGAGCCAGGGCGGTGAAGCCGGTCGCAGCCGTTAGAGGGTACCCAAGGAGCTTGGTGTGCACCAGAAAGGTCACTGTGCCTATGACATTCGGGGATGCCTTCACCACCACCATGAAGCACCTGTCGCACGTCAGACGTCACACGTCAGACACTCGTACCATCACACAGAGCTCCTCCTAACTGCGGGTATGAACAAGAGGCCAAGTCATCTCGTCTTTGAGTGGGTACGTACACGATGACAGAGTTTCTATGAATCGCCGCCGTAGGAATCAAACCAGTGTCCAATCATTTCCTCTACCATGCATTGATTTACAGGTCCGTAACATAGATGTCAGAGTCCTCTTCTTGAATCTATCGAGAAACGGCCAAATCGTCTCAGGCATGCATAGTAGGCAGAAGTGGTGCACGGGTGTGCCCGCACGCCTCACACATACTTTTCAGCCTCCGGACGACTGAATGGCGGCTGCCTGCTAGCCCTTCCCCTGACTCTCACCCTAACCCATGCTGTGCGGTACCCGTATGCGATCACTTACCACAAAATGGTATACTGTATAGCAAATATCGTGCTCGGCCGGGAATGGTGCCGCACGTACATCGCGAGGCAACTGCTCTATAATCCAAACACTCGAACAAAAATACGGGGAAACACTGATCAGAGCACGCTCGGAGATATGCATACAAGAATCCCGTGTGTACGTGTGTTGGAGGTAGACGCAATACGGCTGAATCTGGTCAAGACTATACCCTTGCATTCTTAGGGTGCGCCTTCGGTTCCCACGTGAAGAGTGAAATAAAAGATGTAAAATCTACAAGAAATTTCCAGGGGGAAAAAAAACATCAGTAGCTCTTACCCCAGGGTGAACATGTACGTCCTCAAGAGGACCATCTCCAAAGATCGGGCATCGACCATCTTCTTGAGGAAGTTCGGTTCCCAGGCGAAAAGCTTGATGATGCGGACGCCGTTCATGGCCTCGTTCACCACGGACATGCGATCGTCACGCCTCTGTGTACGACGAGAGCCAAAAAAAAAAAAATGTCAGGCGGAGGAACTCCCAAAAGCAGCGCAAATAAGCGGCTCAGGTTGAATTTGAAACTTCGGCGGTTGAAGCATGATAAAAACGTTGTCCTTGTGCGCAACACGGTCAGTCGTAGTACGAGAAAGATGCTACTGTAAGAAATTTTGTTAATGAATACCCATACGCTCTCCGCAGTCAGAGATTGCAGCTGGAACAGGACAGTGTACGAAATGGCCAAGTACGCGACAAGTTGCAACTGTGCGACACGTCGATCGTTGAGCTGCTGAAACAAGCTAAACAATCAAGCCCACGAAAAAGTGGCATGCGAATAAAAACCTTACTTTGCGTGCGCACGATACAACAATAGCAGCAGCCTACCTTCATGAGCTCGAGCTGGAAGGCCTTGAGCTTTTCTACCAGAACCTGCAACAAACAAGACATTTCAGGGGAAAGAGGGCAGGGGATAAGGGGGGACGGAGGGTAATTGATTTGCCTGGAGAAGAGTGCACCGCTGCTGAACCAACCTAAATCGTGTCGAACGGGTGTCGGTTTGCAGGCAGACAGAAAAAGAGACGTAGACAGAGAGAGACAAAGAGAGACAGAGAAGGAGAGAGGGGGAGAGAGAGGGAGAGGGAGAGAAAGCGAGACAAAAACAGGCGCACACGGTCGGGAGGAAAAGGCACCCACCTAAAACGCGCCATCGCTCTACTACCACCACGACACCAACACAGGCAACAAACAGCCCGACGCCGCGACGTGGTCGGGCGGAAAAAGGCACCCACCTTTTCAAGGAGCAGCGACAGGAACAGGCTTCAAAACGCCGGCAAAAAAACAGCACAGGCGCGACATGGAACAGGCACCCACCTCAGCCACCACCAACACCGCCAACACACAGGCAACAACACAACAGCACACGTGGCCGGGCCTCAACAAGGCACCCACCTTGTTGAGGGGCAGCGACAGGAAGACGAGGCTGAGCCCGCTGATGGCCGACACGCCCAACACCCAGAAGAGCAGAATGATGCACGACACCAGACGCACCAGCGCGCTCCACATGAACATCTGGAACACCATGAGGTTCAGCACCGCCTCGGCATCCACGGAGATATGGTTCTGGCAGCAGAAAGAAAAGAAAAAAAAAAGCCAAGGGGTTTCAATACTAGCTGCAAAAACGCCTGGCCAAGATCTTCGTTCAGCTGAGGTAGAACTCGCATTTGTTCTCGCCTTGTGCGCCCGCGGCTACCTGTCTTATGGTTTGCGCTTCGTTCCCCTTTTTTCAGCTGAGGGCGATATTTTCTTTCGTAAGGAATTTCTTGGAATTATTGTCGCCTCTTTTGCGCCTCCGCGGAACAAATTTGCAACATGGGTAGTTCGTTTTCCCGTTTTCAGCTGCGCGTGAATTTGTATTTCTGTTTTCTGGGCCTGCGGGTGAAGTCATATTTGTTCTTGATGTGCTCGTGTTCGGGTGAAGACTTAAATAGTTCGTTTCCCTTTTCAGCTGAGGATTGTGCAATCTTGAGTTGAAAAAGGAAACGAACTAAATCTTCACACGACCACACTCACATCAAGAACAAATACGAGTTCACCCGCAGGCGCACAAAAGCAAGTACAACTTCACGCGCAGATGCACAAAGGCTACAGTAGAACAATACAATTTCAACTCTCCGAGCTAAACAAAGGGAACGCCAACTACAATCCGCGTGTGGACGCAAACAGCGACACCAAAATCCAAATACATGCGCATGCGCACAACCATAAGAGCAAAAAGACGCACATCTCTTATTCGCAGACGCAAATAACCAAAAGCGGCACACGTCAGCCGTCTCAGGTCACCTGGAGTTGTCCCGCGTGTGCGCTACTCATGTCCAGGGCCATCGCCTTGCGGAACACCGCCGATATCAGCGCCGAGCGGGACCGGATGCCCATGCGACGCCCGAGCTTGAACATGGTCGCGTCACAGTAGTTCGCCACGCCCTGCCCAGCCAAGGGTTACGGACGTCGTTTCGAAGGTCGAGCGCGATGTGACCAAAGCATGCCAGAATGCAACGGTATGTGCAGTAGTACTTCAGCCCCGGCACGCGCAGAGGGAGAGGGAAGGGAAAAAGAAACGGAGTGCTCACATGGCTACTCAGGGCTTGGCACAGCTGGGCAGAGATCGCCAGGAGATGAAAACAAAAACCAAGAATTTGCAAAATCGTCGGGGTTGCCAAAAACAAAGAGAAAAGACAGTCGGGAAGCCGCCGGCACGACGAACGAATCCAAACGACACACAACACGAGACAAGGCCCAAGACCATGAGGCATGGGGGAACAAACAAAGCGCGAGACGCCTCGCAAGAAGTCGCCCGCCAACAAGCCGCGATTAAAGGCTAGGCGCCATCGTTGAGGTGGTTGATCATCACCACAAACACTCGAACCGCTGTGGCAGCAGGTGAACAGGTCCACATGAGAAGAAAAAACAGGAGGGAGAGGAGCGACCATCACAAGTACACAGCTGTAGAGGTCTACAGGGAGACGGCAACTATCAGGACACGCTGGGCAAGAAGACCGACGCGTAAATTTACGCGACAAAGCAAAAACAATTAGCCGGGGCAAGCAGGGAGCTCTGGTGGATGGCTGGTCAACACCGAAAACACCAACGCCAGCCGCAGACAGCATAGCACAAGCTCTCACGAAACAGCAACTCTCGCCAAAAAAAGCGTCACCAAAAACAACGCACCCACCCCAGCAGTACACAACAGAAGCTCTCAACACTAAAAAAAAACAAGCATGGTCAGCAGAAAACACCGACGGCGACAACAAATCAGCCAACCCCCACAACACGACAACAGACAAGCTCTCGAAAAGCATGACCAAAAACAACGCCACCAACAAAAACAAGCCACCCGCCGGGGTCAACCGTCTAACCGCTAAGGCATGCAAAACATGAGCACCCCCCCCCACACACACACACACGTACCTGGCCTAAGAAAAGCCCTGCGACGGAAGCAACGACGACGAGGGGGATGCCCTGCTTCGGGGCATCCTTATCGTACGTGTCCATGTAGTCCGTGATCTGGTTGAGAGCCAAGGGCGACACGAGCTGCGTGAGCGCCCCGACGAGCGCAGTCGCCGCCTGTTGGTGCCGCACCCCCCGCCGAAAAGAAACAAGGAGCAGAGGCAAACACATAGCATACGAAGGCGAAAAAGGGGGTATGAAAAAAAAGACAACTAAGAAAAGAGACAAGCACAGAACCTTAACCAAAGTACAAGACTGCATGATCCTGTTCTCCCCCCCCCAAAAAAAAACACACACACTTGGCAATTTTTGCGTCGGGCGGGGCGGCAAAAAAGAATCAAGAAATGCATGATGAGCATGGAATGAAGCGAAAATTGTACATTTGAATACACATGTTTCTATTCAATTCATCTGATTGTTTTTACACATTTTGGAGGCAAGTTCTTAACGACTCCGAGCAAAAGTTATCTATCGGGCTTTTCGCAGGACAAGCACAATACTCCGGAGAAAAAAAAACGCGATTTGTTTTCCGACGGCGGAGACTTGCCTGCAGGAAGTATCTCTTTCCCCCAAGGCGGACGATGTTCCTGCCCACGTCCAGCTCCTCTCCGTCTAGAACGGCACTCTGCCCACGGGGGTACAGCAGCTTCGCGTAGCGCGCCCAGATGGTCTCCGCTCGGTCATCGTCAACAATTTCCTGAAAAAAAAAAAATCCAAAAAGAGGCACATAATAAGCTTCCCCGCGTCAGATAGGACCGGTGCGGGAACTGCAAGTACCTGACCGACGACCGGAACGGTCGTGAACGTGGAGACACCAGGAAATGGTTTTACGTAGGTCGTCGTTGAAGGCATGGTAAGCTGATCCCTATGACTTTAGTAAGCAACCTTACTAGCAGGTGCCACAACAAGCAGCAGCAAAAAATCAGAACCCCCGGCCGTTGACCTTTGAGCTAGCACCATGTTGCACCACCACATGAGCAGGAACAGCGATAGCCACAATGCCAACAACAGCACAAAAATTGCAAAGGGTCCGAGATCGTCAAAACCTACCGGCAGCTGTTCCATCTTAAGCTCTCCCTTGTAGCCCCTGTCAATGACGCGCGTGTACCAGTTGAAGTTGTACATCGACCAGATGCTCGAGGAGTACTCCGGAGTCAAGTGGTAGTCTGCGGCACCGCAAAAAAACATTAGGCGGGGGGGGGGGTAAAGGGGGAGGGGCAAACACCTTAAAAAGAGTGGCTGGGAAAAGAAAAAGGGATGTCAGCCACCCATTTTGCTTTCATGTAAGAGAGCCCCCGTCAAGCTCGATTCTGGCTGCTAGACGGGGGTCCCGTGCGCTGTATGACTTGGCACACACCCCTCTCCCGTAGGGAGTCAGTCCTGTAGGGAGGGCTTCTCTAACCCGTCCAAACACTCAGCGACAATGCGTCAGTCATAATCTCGGCGCAGACTATGATACCTCGCCATCGCCACCACTACATCCCCAACGCTAACGCCCACCACCACCAACGCCGCCACCACCACCACCACCACCACCACCACCACCACCACCACCACCACCACCAACAACAACAACAACAACAACAACAACAACAACAACAACAACAACAACAAGAAAACTACCAACCAAACTACGGCGACAACAGCAAGGAGAGCATCAAGATAGTAGGATGACGAGAGCACTCACAGTACTTGATGGGCACGACACGAATGCAAGACCAGATCTCCACCGCCACGATCAGCAACAGAAGTCCGAGGTCCCACGCCGCAGGCTGCCACGAAAAGGTGCCGGCGAAGTTCACCACAGTACGGGGAGGGGGGAAGAGTCTTCTTGGCACATTGTAGTGGCAAATGGGCACCAAGCGAGAGGGGTGCGACATGCCCCGGTTCGTCATTAGTTTCAAAAGTAAGCAAAAAAATCTGGCCTGTCTTCAAAACGTCACCCCCCCCCCCCCCCAAACTAAAAAAACTTTGTGTTCATTTTGGAGCAACAAAAAATAGCAACACTCGAAACCAGGCCGCCGAGAACAGACCAGACTCGGGATTGAGGTCGTACCGCAGTGCGGCATGATTAAAAACGCTCTTCAGGCGGTTTCACCTCGGATGCATCGACTCCACCAAACCCGTCGGTCCGGAGCAAGATCCAGAGCGCCGTTCCGAAAGCGATCGTCGGAAAAATGACCTGTTGATGATGATGTTGATGTTGATGTTGAGCAGCGTATCATAGGTCCCAAGGACGTGATGGAGGAACGCGGAGCAAAGCGAGAAGAAGAAAGAGGAGGGCCAAGAGGAAAATCGCAAAGAACGTGCGTGGAGGAGGGGGGGGAGAAGAAGGCATGAAAAAACCTCACAGCGGGCAGTAGAGAAGCAGGAGGGGTAGACGGATATGTCGCAGGCGTCACAAACATCACCAGCGCTGGCAGGGATACCACGTGTGATTGCAAATCCACGAGTCAAGTGGACTCGTCTACTGTTGTATCAAGCGAACCGTCAATTCCGCCGCGGTTTCCCCCCCAGGACCCCCACCCTGCCCCCGTCGTCGGCCTGTTCGGGTGAAAGCCCCGCGTTCTTCTTCGTCCCATAGGTCTGTTGGGGATGCGAGAATCTCCGCATGGAAGAACACCCAAACCACGGCGCTCCTCTGCCTCTGTTGGATATAGCTTCGAAACGGCGTTGGTTGCGCGGGAGGAGCCACTCTTCTCTTTCCGCGGTTGTAGCAATCGCGTGCCGTCGTGACGGAACCGTCAAAGGACCAACCTGCACCACCGGGCCCTGCGAACTCAATCAAAACGTTACCGTAGTCACCGACCGCTTTTCGATTATTTTTGCCTGCTGCTGACCTGATATACAGGGTTGCGCCGCCTTCCCATCATGGCGTGGTGCACGCACTCGGTGCAGCAGTGAACCGTCCACGCCAGGATCAGGATAGAGAAGGACACGTCTGCCAGCACCGGCGCGATAAGAGCAGCGCAACGAGAGCCAGGGGTTGGCGCAGAAGCGGGGAGGTTAAACAAAAGTACCCACAAGCAGAGCTCTGTGCGACCGACAACTTCTCCGAAATCACTCTTCTCGGCATTGGCAACTTGTCGGTGGTGGATCAAGCCCAGAACCAGGAGGACCCTCGGTATTACCAATGGGGACTCGCAGTTCTAAGGTTCATGAACGCACCAGGGTCCGCAGCAGTGAAGAACTACACACGGAATATTAGGCAACATCAGATATCGCACAGCAGCCCTGGATCGATGTTTTTTCACAGCTCCCTTACTCCACGGCGGTGAGTAGGGTGTTTAAGTCAAACGATCCATACATTTTCGAAGGGCTCTCTCGACGAGCCGCCATTTTCTGTACCGCCACTCTCTCTCTCTCTCTCTCTCTCTCTCTCTCTCTCTTGGGTACGGGGAAATCGAGCTTAGAGCGTCGGTCCAGGGTGTGTGGTATCTTACGTCATGTCACCGTATACAGCAGTACAAAGGCAAACTCACACTTGTATGGGTTGTTGTCAGCGTGGCCGTCGACCAGGGTGAAGGCTCCCACGCTGAGGTGGTACCCGGCCTGGATCCAGTACAGCAAGAGCTTGAGCCAGTGGACACCGGTGCCCTTCTTGGGCGTCTTCTTGCCCCCCGCCCCGCCCACCTTCCCGGCCTCGTGGTCGTTCTCGTCTGTGGTCGCCGCCACGACGCCGAAGAAGGAGTTGGCGATATCATCACCGTCCCCGCCCGCGCCTGCTGCGGAGGAGTCGTGTCCCGCAAGCAGCGGCTCGGCTGCGCTTGAGGCGAAGTTTCCGCCGCCGTAGTCGTCAGCGTCGTTTCCTTTCGTCTCCTCCCGCCCGCCGCCGTCGTTGACGCCGTTCCACAGCTTGTTGGCGTAGCCCGTAGCGCGGCAACCGCCGCCGCCGCTGCTGCTGCAGCCGTAATGCACCAGCATTGCGACGAAGGACAGCAGGGCGACCAGGCCGGCTACCACGGCGCCTAGCGTCGTCAGGGAGCAGACATTGTCCAGGCGCCAGAAATCATGCCAGGAGAACTTCGCCTCTCCATCCGGGGAGTCGCATAAGCCGTCGAGGAACCCCATGGGTCAGAGCACAGAGTTGAACTGCTGTGCTGCTGCTGTGATGCAACAAGTCAACCGGCGGCGCAAGGTGCAATACAACAGGGTGAAATACGTAAGCAGAGGAAGCATTTTTTCTTACGGTTTGGCCGTGGGGAATGGGCGAGCTGACTCGCGTCGGGATGTTCTTCAACGAGGAGCTTACTGTGCTTGCGGTGCTGCGCACGAAGCCTTTCGTGTCTGCTGACACGCAACCGGCGTGCGCGCGTGCATGCATATGTTTATGCAAACAGAAAAAAGCGCATTTTATAGGTAAAGGTGGCAGTATTTGTGTGCACGCGCACCGTTTGGAGTCGCGGGACAACGGGACATTTTTGGTACTTGCCTTGCAGCGGGGCTGCACCGACGCCGCCTTGAGGACGGCAGCTCTATTCCAACGCTCCGCGATCCTCTGCGCACAACCCCGTCTGTCCCTTCGGTTGATGGTGGGTGTCAAAGGATTCGACGGTCAATCACACCCCTCGTTGGTGTGACTGTTGTTGTGTTGCTGGGTACCTGCGGATATTACAGATAGGGTACCCCGGCTTTCTCCTGCAGTCACGGTGCCGCTTCGCGCGAGAGAGCAAGATTTGAATTTCGGCGCACCAGCCAGCACTGCCCACACTCACCACACGCAGATGGATAGGCGTGTCATCTTCCTGGCCGAGCCAGCGCCGTTGGTCGGCCTAAGGTTCGACCGCAGGCAACACGATGGTGGCGAAGGCGGTAGCTGCGCGAGGACGCGAAAAACCTCGCTCTACCTGCGACACCTGCGCGGCGTGATAGAAGAACTCTCACGCTTCTGCCGTCAGCAGCAAGCCCAGGAGCATGGCCAGGGCGCCAACAGCAACACCGGTAGTGAAGAGGGTTGCGGTGGTGAAGGTGGTTGGGGAATTCTGAAGGCAGGATTGCCGACGCGGCCCCTCAAAGCAGCAGGAGACACGCCTTCGACTGGGCCACCAACAGCAAGAGAGCCAGAGCAAGGTGATGCCACTGCGAGCGGTAGCCGTAGCGGGAGGAGAGTCCTGCTGGCGGCAGTATTTCCTTGCCCCGACGTGCCGCTGGAGGCTACCGGAGAAGCATCAACCGCCGCCGCCGAAGAACCAATAGCCGCCTCCCGCGACGATCGAAGCGAGCAGCAGCGACAAGAACAGGAACCACAGCGACAACACCGTTTGCGCGAATCATCCCGCCTCCTCCAGCTCGCCCTTGCGTTCGCCCAGGCCCTCGAAGGCTGCGGAGTCTGGCTCGAGCCCGCCGACTTCGAGACACGCGTCCTCGCCCCTACCCGGGCCCTGATCGACCGACAGCTCGAAGATTTCGGCGGTGGTCAACCTTCCGCCGACGTCGTCGACGCTACCAGCGTTACCCGTAGTAGCCGTGAGAGTGCTACTTGCGCCGTCGAACGCCCGATGCCGCCGTTATCGCCGTCGCCCCAAGGTGCCAGCACTACAAGTCCGTCAGCAGAGGCAGCAGTCGAGCACGCAGACAAGGAGGCCTTCGCCCGGAGTGCGGCCGATGAGATAGCCTTGCTCACTCGCCAGGCGGCGGTGGAGACGGTGACGCCGGCGGCGCCGCTGTCCCGCCGTCGGGGGGGCGAATCGGGAGGGACGGAGGCCGACGGCGGTCATGACGGCCGCCGCCTGTGCATGCTCGACGTGTTGTGGGCCGCTTCATCCTTTCCAGCTGAAGGTGAGGGGCACGTCTAGCCGTCTTTTCCCGCGGCACTTCCACCTACGTATGTAGCGATGTTCGACACGGTCGTAGCGCTGTTTGTTACCTCAATATCAATCGGCACGGCATAGCAACAGATACCGTAGCGTTGGCGCTCGACGGACCACGATCGGGTTGACGGGTCACGGGGATCTTGTGGCAATAGTCTTCGCAGGGTTTTTGTATTCAGGAAACCTGTTGGATAAAGCATTCAATCGGGTCAGGGAAGAGGGCCGGGTACCTCCTCCATGTTCTAATGGTACTATATTTTACGCGAAGCCGGTCCTCTTGCAGGGGCGTTTCTACTTGCCACTCCACCTCCACCCGATCTTATGTGTGCGTATGGTAACGTATGGTATGTAACCCTTCTAGTATCCCTAGGTTTTCTATTTAGTGCAATGACCGACCGCGGGCGTGGTTTGCGGTTCTGTGCGTTTCCTCCCCTGACTCTCAACAAAACTGTTTCCCCAGGGGGTGGCGCCCATGACGCGTCCGCAAACGGTGGCGAGCAGCGACAAACAGCAACAGCGTCAGCAACGACCCGAACGACAAGCCAGGACTCGCACGGCGTGGGGTTTACGGCCACTTCTGCGCCGGCGGCGGCGGCATCGCCGCCGCCGCCGCCGCCGCCGCCGCCGCCTTTGACGCTATCCGAACCGGTCGACCGGCCGTGTTCCGGCCCCCTCCGCGCAGCCTTGCTAGGGACCCGCGCGCATTTTCCGCGGTCCCGTATCACCATCTTCCCGGCATGTGTTCAAACCCCCAGGTCGGGGGAGGGTGGCGGCAGCAGCGGCAGCAGCAGCAGCTGCAGGGATGAAAATGGCTGCGGGAGCGAGTTGCGCCGGGCGTGGCAGCGGCAGTGGAAAGCCTGGTGCGAGTCGACGGGCGCGCGGGTGTTCCTCAGCGGTGGCGTTTCTGCAGCGATTGAGGCTGGGCCAGTTCTGGACGCCGGGCTATTGTGGCGGGGGCCTGTCGTAGCCGGGACGACAAGAACGACGGCCTCAGCACCGGCCCCGCCCTCAACAACAACAACAACAACAACAGCCGCCAAGGTGCCCCCACAGACTAGCTCAGGCACCTCCTCCTCGGCGGCTACCCTCCACAACCCAAACCCTCCGCAACCAGCTCGCGCGATCCCGGTTTTCCCCTCCTTGGATGGCTTCGCCCTGCGACTAGCGGCGGCGGCGGTTACTCCCTCGGCCTCGGGGCCAGTAGAAGGCGTCACTAGCGGTTCAGCAGCCGGAGGTGGTCCTGCCGCCGCGGTGGCGCGGGGGGCGTCGAGCACGCTCGGCCGCGCGCCGGCGCTGCGGTTAGCGCGGGTGATCTCGCCGGCGGAGGTGGCTCGCGCGTGCCACCTTCTCGCAGACGGAGCCCTCGCGCCGGCCCTCGAGCTGTTCGTGGAAGACGACGAGAGATGCCGGGGGAGCGCCGAGTTTTTGAAAAAGTGGGCGGTGGACGGCCGAGGGCTACTCTTGGTCACGGGAGCGGCGGCGGCGGAGGCTACGGGCGGGGTTCGCGGTGGGCGGGCAGAAGCGGGAAAGGGGGGCGTGGACGAAGGGTTGGCGATGGCGTGCTTTCCTCACCGCCGTGGCCGAAACCGCCGCCGTCCTCGGGAGCTAGCCGGCAGCGGAGGACATGCCGATGTTGGGGCCGTTGAGGAGGACGAAGGCCGGGACGTGACGACGCCGGTCTGGAGCGTGACGCTGTTTCGAAAAGCGTCGGAGTTCTCCGAAGCGGCGGTCTCGGCGCTCGTCGGCGAGAGCAGCGGCGACCGGTGTATCGATAGCGGTTTCATCTCTCGCCTTGCATGGGGAGGCTCACGCTCAGGCTCAGTGCTGACGCGGATGACAACGGGGCCGAGTCACACAAGCCCTCCATCGGATCCAGTGGAGGAAAAGGAAGATATGGGAGAGACCGCGGCTACTTCCTCCGTCGTTGCGTCCCTACCTGTCTACGCGTCTGCTTCTCTGATCTCTCAACAGTCTCGCCTGTTCTTTCCACCGCAGGAAGCGTTGTCAGCCAAAGACGGCGCAACGACACCGCTACCTTTGACACCGGCCGGTGCTTCCACCAGCAGCAGGAGCAGCAGCAGGAAGAGGCGGCGATCGGCTGGGTCATCCGTCGTTGGCGGCACTATCCCCCGCGGGAGCGAACGCCGAGCGCCCGGAGAGAGGGCTCTTGGAGAGGAGGCGGCGTGTTCGTCTTCGTCTTCGCCCAGAGAAGGAGGCGGTCGCCGGCGGTCGAATCGCATCGTCGTAGCATTGGCAGTGGCAGAAGCGAACAACCAACTGTCGGAGCTGCAGGAGAGATCGGCGGCCGCGGCAGCAGAAGACGGGCGTCGACGGAGAACGAAGTCATCGTCGGGCAAAGCGCATGGTGCTTGCGGGGGAGGCAACGGCCGTGGCGCGGGGTGCAAGGGAGGCGAAGACACGCGAGTGGAACGCCCGCTGGAGGCGAAAGTTGAACCGTCCGAGATGAAGATGATGCCCGCGGCGAAGCCGGAAGCGTCAGCAGCAGCAGCAGCAGCAGCAGCAGCAGCAGAAAAAGAACGCAGCGCGCTAAATGCCGTGATGGATGCATGGGCTGCTCAGCTCCCGACGGCATCTTGCCCGGGGCGGAGTTGTCGCGGTTATCCTGCCGAAGGAGAACAAGTAGGTGTCGAACGAGGATGTGGGGGAAGAGGACGGAAACGCGGACCGCTGCCAGGACATACCGGCGTGCCGGGCGGCGATGAAGGCCACAGGCAGGTTTTTTTTCCCTTCTCTTCCCTCGCATACGCTCTGTACGGGTCCTTCGGGGATTGGGGGGACGGGGAAGCCAGCGCAACTGTGGACGGCGGGTCCCGGCGTCGTTTCTGGGCGGAAGAATGCCTCCTTCCGGACGGCGGCGGCGGCGGCGGCGGCGGCGGCGGCGGCGGCCGTGGTACTTCCTCTTCTTCCGGCCGTGCGATGTTTCCCGGTGGGTCTGGTAGCCGCAACGGCAACACAAGCGCGTATTCCAAGGCACCCCCTACCACTGCGACTGGCGGGGCCGCTGGTGTGTCGGCCGGGAAACGGAGCGAGGGAATTTCCAGGAAACACAACGACGGTGGTCGTGGTGACGGCGAGAATGATCGTGGTGTTGGCGGCCTGTCGGGGTGTGCCGCCGCCACCGCCCGGGCGTCCGGCACGACCGGCTACAAGAGCGGCAGCGGCAGCAGCGGCGGCGGGTCCGGCGTTGCGGCGGCAGCCCCGCCGTCGCCTCCGAGGCGCACGCTGTCCACCGCCGAACAGGCCCTCGTGAACGCCGGGCAGCAGCAGCGGGCTCGCGCAAAGCAGCGGCGGGTGGTCGCGAGAGAGCAGCGGGCACGCATGGATCGTCCCCGGCCCCGCCCTCGCCCTCGCGGCGGCGGCGGCGGCGGCGGCGGCATCGGTGCCAGCGGTGGTGGGTCATTGATGTCATCGTCGTCGTTATCTTCGTGGGCGACGGGAGCTGTCGGCGGGAGCGCCAGCGGTGGGAATTTTCAACGCAGCAGCGGTCCCGCCTCCGTCGGACCTTCTTCGCGTTCCCTCGGCATGGTGGGCCGTTCGGGCTCGATGGGGTCGAAGCTTTCACGCGGGAGCCTTATTCTGGGCCGTTCAGTGGCGGGGGGTACCGGTGTTGGGGGATCTTCTTCCGTCGCCGGCGCGGGCGGCGGTGAAGGGAGCGGCGGTGCAGGGGCGGGAGGAGGAGCTGCTGGTGGGCATGGTAGCGCCGGTGTTGCCGCTCCTGCTGGTGTTGGGGGGCAGCAAGAGTCGGCGACGGCGGCGACGACAACGCGACGGGGAGAGAAGAGCATCGCCTCCACGACGGCGGGCTCGGGTGCCGGGCGCGCGGGGAGCCGTGGCAACCACCGCGAGAGACCCAAATCGTTCGCGTCTCCGTCTTCTTCGATTTCGCCGCCGGCGGTCGGGCTTGTGGCGGCGGCCGTTGGCGGGAACAGCCGCCGGGCAAAGCGAGCCATCCTCCAGGACCCACCGCCTGCAACGGTTCCGCCACCAACGACTTCAGCAGCGCCAGCAGAACGGGCAACAACGGGGGGGACGGCGGGGGCGGGCAGTAGGTCGATGGCGGCGGACTCAGGTCACGAAGCAGACAGCGAAGGACGTTCCAGAGCCGGCGGAGCTAGGTTTGCGGGTGCCGGCGACGGAGACAGTGTTGGCGTTGGTGCGGGTGCTACCGCGGGCGCTGGGGATGCGACAGGTAAAGGACCACACGAAGAGTTGGACAAGCGTGCGGCAGGACACACGCCGAAAGGCAGAAGATTGGGTGTCGGGTCGTGGCACTGGCGGTAGCGGCAGCGGTAGAGACCACACTTGTTTTGTTCCTCGCGCCGGGTTCTTGCGTTATCGTCGAACTGATGCCAAGCGGAGACATCTAGGCGGTCCTAAAAGACAACAACTCTCCCGCACGGCGAACGGACTAGTGATTCCCCCTACCCTCCAGGCAATCGCTCGCACTCGGTCCCCCCAATGTCGGACAAGGTGTCGACCCCATACGACATGGCAGATATCAATCACACTGGGCCGTTCGCCAATAATTGATCACGGGGAGCGGCTATTGTACGCCATCGTCACACCTCGCCTGTTCGTGGACCACCCTGTCGTGGTGCCCTTCCATGGAGTAGGACCGCACCAGCTGTTGTGTGTGTGTGTGTGTGTGTGTTTTTTTCATGTACTCGCTGATTCGTTTTCGCAGGGTCCCGAGCATGTTCCCAACGTTTCCCGCCGGTCTTAAGCGGGTGTATTTTTTCTGTTTTTCCTGAATATGGCCCAGCTCTTTGCCTCAACCGCCACGCCTGCGAAGATTTAGCAAACAGGATAGGGTACATCCCGCTCACGCGCTTTCCTCAACCCTCTCCTTCGTCTGTTTATTTTTGCTTTTTCAGGCACGGCAGGTGCTGGCGACGCCGGGTTCAGGCGGGTAATGGAGCGCGCGATGCTCGCCGCTATTGCATCGAAACTGGGCCTGGCTGAGGACAACCCATCCGTGCTAACAGTTTTCGAGAGGGAAAGTCGGCTCATGGGTGGTGGTGGTGGCGGCGGCGGCGAGGTGGAGGAATGAACGTGAACTGCATTTTGTTAGTCCACTCGCGGGCCACGACGGTGAAATATTTTTTATAAAAGTTTTACGAGGACCGCAACGTGAACAGGATTCGGAGGGAAAGGGGAGAGGAGAGCCAGATCATCAGCTTGATTCATTCATGAGTTGTTGACCCCGCTTTGACTGGAGTATAGACTGCTGTGATTGTTTATCTTGATCTCAAAGGAGGCAGGTGGAGGTACATCTCATGATACTGAATGTACGTTGTGAGCAGCCTCTACTGCCCTGTGCGAGAATCAACGATGTCTATTTTTTCCGATGCCTTCCGACCTGTCTTGTGTGTCATGTGTGCATTTTCTGGTGCTCTAGTGGTTATTTCAGCATCCAAATTTCTTGTCTACCACGCCCACATAGTCTAAAGATCAGTGAAGTGCGAGGCATTGCCCACCCCTTCGACCGACCGTCATACATGGATTGCTTCAGAACCAACATGGTGCCCGGGAGGCGGTGGAACGATCTCGACGAAAGGTTTGTGGCATATTAAAAGACATTCTCTACCACAACACATTGAGATTTGATTCGAAGCGACACAATTTCAGGTTTCGTTGCCTGACCCGCGAGGAGTGTTGCAGCACCTTATTGTTTCATTTTACTTCACAACATCTCGCAGCTGGTATCTAAAAACGACACAGTAGTTCCTTGCCATTCGCTCAACCAAAAGGTATTTGAGTCTGGGATTGCATTTTTATACCTTGGCAACATCCATGAGAACTCGACCTACAAGGAGACCTGCCCGTCGAGATCCCCGAACCTTGATCTACTTGCAGGAGAGTAGCATGTAGATCCGACACGGGAAGCATCTGCCATGGCGATTGGAAGCACCTGACAGATAATATTCGAGATGTGTGCTGCATGCGAACGAACACACGCAAATTCCGCACCGTACGACAACATGAATACTGCACTGTGCAACCAGAAGATACGCTTGGGCCATGGAACCTACTCCATATACAGTCCACACACAGACCAGCCGTTCGCCTCCCTAGAATGTGGAAGGAACCGCCAAATCCTTTCAATGAACCTTCACAGCAGCCTCTCCCCGCCGCGTATCAAGCGTTGCAGAGACCTTGGCCACGTGACTCTGGGCAAGGGCTGATTGAACCCCAAACGACACCTCTTCCAAGGACGCCGGCCACATGACTCCCGCAATACGCTGATTGAACTCGTCCCGAACGACAGCTGTTGCAGGGACGCCGGCCACACGACTCCCGCAATAGGCTGATTAAATCTTGACCCGAACGACAGCTGTTGCAGGGACGCCGGCCACACGACTCCCGCAATAGGCTGATTGAATCTTGACCCGAACGATAGCTGTTGCAGGGACGCCGGCACAGGACTCCGGCAATAGGCTGATTGAATCTTGATCCGAACGACAGCTGTTGCAGGGACGACGGGAACACGACTCCCTCCATAGGCTGGTTGAACAAAATTCCGAACAATAGCTGTTGCAGGGTCGCCGGGCACATGACTCCCGCAAGAGGCTGATTGAATTTCGACCCGAACGCTAGCTTGTGCAGGGACGTCGCACACAGGACTCCGGTAGTAGGCTGATTGAAACTTGACCCAAACGACAGCTGTTGTGGGGACGACGGGAACACGACTCCCTCCATAGGCTGATTGAAGTCGTTACCGAACGATAGCTGTTGCAGGGACGCAGGCCACAGATCTTCAGCAGTAAGCTTATGGAACTCCCAACCGAGCGATAGCTGTTGCAGGGACGCCGGCCACACGACTTCGGCAATAGGCTGATTGAACTCCCACCCGAAGGATAGCTGTTGTAGGGACGCTGGCCACAGGACTCCGGCAATAGGTTGATTGAACGTTGTCCCGAACGACAGCTGTTCCAGGGACGCCGGCCACACCACTCCCTCCAAAGGCTGATTGAAGTCGTTCCCAAACGATAGCTGTTGCAGGAACGCCGGCCAAACCACTCCCTCCAGAGGCTGATTGAAGTCGTCCACCGATAGCTGTTTCAGGAACGCCGGCCACACGACTCCGGCAATAGCCTGATTGAACTTCCCAAGTGCCAGACCTTCCAGGCGTATGGGCCACGAGACGTCCTGTATTGGAACATCAAACACTCGGCACAACGCAAGCTGTGTTAGCCCTCGGGGCCAAACCATTGCTCCTAAGCTAGTCGTACACAGCGATCCCGGCAGCTTAAGACATTCTGATGAATTCCACAGCTCGATGGCGGCTCTCCGCAGCAGAACGTTCATTGGAAGTGCCCTTGTCAATCGCAGAGCTCGCACGACAGGCACACGTCGAGAGATAAGAATCTTCGAGCTGTGTGTGTTCGGCCGAGTCTGTACACAAGGAGACCATAAGCTTGTAGGAGTCTGATCATCTACACAGACGTCCAAGATCGAGATGCTTCGGCATGCCCTGCAGATGTCCAACGAGGTCAGCTGCAGCTCCAGTGTTGACGCATACCAGCGCTTCTTTCCTCCCTCGCATGCTTGGCTCAAGGCGACGACGAAGGCCTCCAAGCACCGGGTTTGCCCTAGCAACAACCAGCAGAGCAAAATCAAACGTATATCCAAGAAGAATTATCAACAAGTGACAGTTGCTCATGTCGATACATTACCCGGAACGGGTAGAATCATGGGGGTGAGAACAGGTGCCCTGCTCCCATGACTTGTGGACGTGAGGGGTCGAGTATGGTTGTTGTCCGGAAACACGACGATGACAACTGGACCCGAAGTAGCAGAGACATCGGAACTTTGAGTGTAACACAAACCTTGTACACCCTCGACGGGGCATGAAACGGGGTCGCTCTCTTGGAGGATTGGTCGCAGTTAAAATGCGGTCAAACTTTCTTGCCAGGGCTCAGTAGGGAGCTCACACGGTGCACGCGCCGGTCTTCTACATAGGTCCCAATTAGGCCGTATTGGCGACGATGAACATATCTTTACTGCTATAGACCCTGACCAAGAAGCACCACCCATACCATGGTTTCGTGGCACTCAAAGTACGAGCACTCGATGAGATACCCAGAACGAAGTTTGAGAAAAATACGTGAAGCTTAAGAGGATGTACGTGATAGTTTCGATTCGATGAATCCCGGGCGTTGGCATGTTTTTCTCTCGCGGCAGGAAGATTTTCTCACGCTTCCTTGTCAGGGGCATGCAACGTGCTCGTCGGTACATTACCGTACATGCCCGAGGATCGCCAGGCATCCGTAGCACGTGCAATCGACGCCTAAAGTCGCCGCGACTTGCCCCATGTCACAGAGAGGCATTCCGAACCAAAAAAGCCTTCGCAGGAGACCTACAAAAACATGTTTCCGTGAACAGCAATACGTTGGATTCCTGCGCAGCTATAGACGCACGTTCACAAGCGATACATTACCAAATGAACCAATGCAGCGGGCTACAGCATCGAAAAGCACGAATCATTACCACCCTCAACGTTGTCAGGGGGTCCGTGGCATGGGTAGGATTCGCGGCAAGGAGAAAGCACACACGCACGCGCGAAGAGTCACGGTGAGTAAAAACAGCTTCGTCATACATGACATGATGTGAGATATTTGTACTGAAACCGGCCCTACCAACAATGAGATCATGTTCCTAGTACAGACAAGAGTGGTCGTCGTTGTCTGCCCTTTAACTTGAAAACATAGTCCCCCCGAGTTGTTTTTTTCTGTGAAATACACACGCTCAGTCACGCAACCGACTTGGCGTGGCGTGATTGAACGTGTGTGTTTCACAGGAAAAACAAAATCATCTGTTGCGGCGGCGTTCTGCTGTGCAAAAAGCGTAGTGTGGATACGTGCGTGCTACCAAACCTGCGCTACATGTACCCCTTATTGACTTGCGGTAGGTCTACAAGTACGATCGACGTGTACAGTGTGTCTATGCTCGATGCTGTCCATCATCAAAGATAAAGGCCGACACATGTCGCAACTGATTCATAGCATTCTGTAGAGCATAGACGCGCAGCACACGTCGGCCTTGCAGACCTACCGCAAGCTAATACAGGGGTAGCGTAGCACGAATCTATAGCAGAAGCACGCTTGATACGGCACACAGCAGCGCGCGACAGCAACGAATTTTCCATCCGCATGACACGAGACAAAGCACCCTACTGCTATAGTCTGTTCCTATCCAACACAACGAAAGCAGGGGAGTTGCGGCTGCTGTCGTGCGTTCGCCCAGCACATGAATCTGCAAACTACACATCCGCCCTGAAAAATACAGTCTTGTTCAATGTTCCTACATACTTCACCTAGACTTACGAACGCGTGCAGTATGGAGCAGCAGTTGTCAGGGGCACCTCCGATGAAGCGACCTTACCCAGGTTCGAGTCCCGACACGTTGATTTCTTTCTTCGTTTCTTTTCCGTATGCATATGCTATGTCCAGAGTGCATGTCCAGAACTTTTCGTTGTTGTTGTTCGTTGTGTGTAAACATGTATGTCCAGAGATATCGCACGTAGTTCATGCACACAAAATGACTCTTCTTCGGGTACTCCATCTCACCATCCCCCATGGTGGCCACGCCATTTGTATATCTCTCCTTTTTTCTTCGTTTCTCGGGTCACATTGTTCTCTTCTTCCTACAGCTGTACATCATGTTACAATCGTTGCTATCGTCAAGATACTTCCACGAAAAAAAATAAATGTACCGACTTTTGCCGCACCGAATGCAGGATTGATTGGTGACGCGCGCGTTGGTCGTATGGGACGAATCCTTCGAACACGAAGTTTGAATTACCCACTACTTGTACATGAAATGGTCGAGAGGTCCCGAACCAAATACTACAATTGACAGCATCGGCCATAGACACGCAGCACACGTCGACCGTTCTTCCAGACGTACTCGACCTCTATCATATTATGCCCCCCCCGCCCCATCGCCTCCCCACCCTCGGTGTTTGTCATCGGGGTTGGGTTTTCGTCGCTTGGCAACGACGTTGTAAAACAAGCCGCCCCCCCCCGGTGTTTGCCATCGGGGTTTGGG